ATCAGGTAAAGGTGGAATTTGAGTTCCTCAGCATGAGGTTGATGGTACAGCAACGTGATGGAGGTGATGGGTAGGAGTCGCTGGGTGGCAGAGATTATTTTTAGCACCATTCCTATGGGAGAGAAGCTGGGGTTTTTCATAACTGCGCAGTGTGGCTCCACTTTGGCTGGTGCCTCCAAGACCATCACGTCATTCATAAAGTGGGCCACTTGGAACTTTAGTGTATCCTCCTGAATTCCTGCCCAAGAATGGAGTCAAAAGGTGTAGATTAAGTGCCCGACTGAACCAGGATTGGCTTGGGATAGTAGAAGCCCAGGGTTTAGGTTCAGAGAGACTGTCTTGGGGGAGGTATGAATGAGTCTGTCCTTTCAAAATCCTAATCCAGGGGAATGGATTTCAGTGGAGCTTTAGGGAGACGAAGAGGGCATGGATGTAGAACCCTCGTGAATGGGCTCAGGAAAGAGTCAAGGGCTCACTTCTGCCATTTGAGAGAAAAGATAGAAGGTGCCATTTTACAAAGAAGATGGTCTTTTCTAGATACCAAATATACTAGCACCTTGATCTTTGCCTTCTCAGGAGATCTCCAAAGACATTGTCACCAGCTTGATGAATTCATTCCTGTCCAAATCTGACCTGCAGTCTAGCAGGCTCTAGATAGATTCCTTTGCACTCAGGGGCTCCCTAAAATTCCTTGGGGAGAAAACCCTATTTCCAGGCTCAGCTGATGGATGATGGTAATTTTATAATGGGAAAGGGTGGGCTTGCCAACCACTCCTCCCTCTAGAGTTAAGAGTGTTAATAGGGCTAAAGGCAGAGTATTTTCTCTGTTACTTTTATCTGGCTCTAGGCCTTCACTGTATTAGTCAAATACCAGCCTCGGATACCCTAATACAGTGTGAGGACAGATCAAGATCTATCACTGGGCTAGAGTCAAGATGGAGACCAAGCTGGAATACGAGTCTGTGCTGTGTGTGAAGCCTGATGTCAGCGTCTACCAGATCCGCCGCGGGCCTCGAACCACGGCTACAGGGCATCTGATTGGAAGTTAGACCAGCCTGATTGGACTGGCCGCCTCCGGATCACTTCAAACTGGAAGATAAAGTTTCAGGGGAGCTCTTTGCTCAGGCACCAGTAGAACAGTACCCTGGTGTTGCTGTGGAGACTGTGACAGACTCCAGCCGCTATTTTGTGATCAGGATCCAGGATGGTACTGGGCGTAGTGCGTTTATTGGCATTGGCTTCTCAGATCGGGGCGGGGGCGCCTTCGACTTTAACGTTTCCTTGCAAGATCACTTTAAGTGGGTGAAGCAGGAAACTGAGATTTCCAAAGAATCTCAGGAAATGGACAATCGTCCCAAGTTGGATTTAGGCTTCAAGGAAGGACAGACCATCAAGTTGAGTATTGGGAACATTACAACCAAGAAAGGAGGTGCTTCTAAGCCGCGGGCCGCAGGAACGGTGGGGGGGCTGAGTTTACTCCCTCCTCCACCTGGAGGCAAAGCCACTATCCCCCCACCATCCTCAGTTGCCATCAGCAACCATGTCACCCCACCGCCTATTCCAAAATCTAACCATGGAGGTAATGATGCAGATATCCTTTTAGATTTGGATTCCCCTGCTCCTGTCACGACTGCAGCACCAGCTCCAGTTTCTACAAGCAGTGACTTGTGGGGAGACTTCAGCATTGCATCCAGCTCTGTTCCGAACCAGGCACTACGGCCATCCAATTGGGTCCAGTTTTGAGTGTCATTGGCATGATGTGAAGGACACACTTGAAGAATAAAAATGACTCTGAGGGAACCGTTCTGTGAGGGAGTTGAGGGACCGCTTCATTTCCCAGAACTAAAATCAGTGGACAATCTTTTCCGTAGCTTCTCTGTTGCTTTCAGGATGGATCACGTTGTTACCTCTGTGTTACTTACTGTATACCAGGAGACCACCTGTTGTTTCCTGCTCACATCCAAGGCAGGAGAGTAACGGAGATTATCACACTGGTGGACTGTGCAGAGTTCAGAAGGCCAACTTTTAGAGTGCGAGTGACCTCGGACATTTGTAAATTCTTGAACTTGTCTCAGAATCATCTCATGGCTCCTGTGTATCTCTTTGTGATGCCCTAGTGTGATCTTGATTCCCCTTGGGCCTGTGATCCCTCCTCCCTCTCTTCAGCCTAGTGCTTGGCTATGGGTCACTGCATCTGCTTCTATCATACTGGATGTAGGTTCTATGATGACAATTAACCCCTTCTGTTTCTAAATGGCCCTATAAAGTCTCCAGAGCTCCTCCATGACCCTCTCTATTCTCTCTAAGGAAGCTGTGAGCTCTTTTGTCATCACCTATCATCCTACATTCTCCTGTATGACCGGAAATACCTCCCATTACCCCCTCCTCCCTATCCTCCCCTTGGTTACCTTGGAGAGCCACAAAATGAGGGAGGTACACAGCAGCCACAGCTCCCTGCTCAGCCTTGATGTCGAACAGAGGCCCAGCCACCATGTAACTCTGCTCCAGGGGAGTCTTGCCTGGGAATTGGCTCCAGGCACAGAATTCGATCTCTACAGTCACTGCCCTTGCCACCACAAAGCGAAGACCAGTGCTGGGCCAGTGATAGGAGCCAGCCATGGGGAGTTGAACTCTAGAAGATGCAGAAACAGACATGAGTTGGACAAGATCTGCTCACATGCTGGATGCAAATCAGGTGCAGGGCCATAGCCACACTGTCTTCTGCCAAATCTCTGAGTCCTGGCTCCTTTGCTCTTTGCATGAGGATCCTGAAAAGGTATTTAGCCTTCTGACTCCTAGTTTCCTTATCTGTAAATAGAGACAACTGCAACACCATCTCATAGACCTGTGAGTACTGAGTGATCTAGAGCACACCTACAGGTGACACATACCTGGAGCAGTGATGATGATGAAGGTATTGAAATAGGTGTGTGTGTGTGTGTGTGTGTGTGTGTGTGTGTGTGTGTGTGTGTATTAAGTTCTGGGGTTCAAGCTCAAGACCCTTCATATGCTATATGATTGGCTATATCTTCAACTCTTAGTTTTCTTACTTTTTGAAATTTTTTCCTTTAAATTAGAAACAAGCTTGCTTCACATGTCAATCCTAGCTCCCTCTTCCTCCCCTCTCCCTCCAGTCTCCCCACCATCCCCCCCAGTGCCCTACCCAATCCCCACTCCGTTCCCCAGGGAGGGTGAGGCCCTCCATGGGGGATCTTCAGAGTCTGTCATTTCATTCAGGGCAGGGCCTAGACCCTTCCCCAAGAGTCCAGACTGAGAGAACATCCCTCATTATAGGAGGGGCACCCAAAGGCCATTTGTATGCCAGGGATAAATACTGATTTACTACCCAAGTTCCCATAGATTGCCTAGGCCTCCTCATTGACACCCACATTCAGGGGGTCTGGATCAGTCCCATGCTGGCCTCTCAGCCATGAGTCTGGGGTTCAAGATTTCCCCTTTGTTCAGCTAAGCTGTTTCTGTGAGTTTCACCAGCCGAGTCTTGACCCCTTTGCTCATTACTCCTCCCTCTCTGTCACTGGGTTCCAGGAGTTCAGTTCAGTGTTTAGATGTGGGTGTCTGACTCTGCTTCCATCAGTCACTGGATGAAGGTTCTAGGATGGCATACAAGGTAGTCGTCAATCTCATTATTAGGGAAGGGCATTTAAGGTAGTCTCTCCACTATTGCTTAGTTTGCCAGTTCGTGTCATCCTTGTAGATCGCTAGAAATCTCACTAGTGCCAGATTTCCCCTCAAACCTAGAATGACTCTGTCTATTATGGTATCTCTCATCCTGCTCTCTTCTGTTCTTCCCCTGACTCAACCTTCCTGCTCCCCCATGTCCTCCTCTCCCCTCCTCTTCTCCCCTTGTCTTTTTCTGGGTCCCTCTTCCCTCCCCACCATGCTCCCAATCTGCTCAGGAGATCTTGCCTCATTCCCCTTCCATGTTCTTACTTTTAAAGAGTGTATTTCTTTATAAGGGTCTGAGCCTAGTGAGATGGCCTGGCAGGTAAAGGCACTTTCTGCCAAACCTGAAAATTCCTGTGTAAGCTCACACAAACACACTGACTAACAGCTTTAAAATGAGCACATGTTAGTATTAGTGATAAATATTTGGCCTTTAAACAATGCGTTACTGAGATCATTAGTGATTTTCTTAAAGGCTTCCCATTTGATGACTGATGGGTAGACAAGAGTCAGTTTCCGTGGGAGGAAGTTAAAGTGACAGTTTCTCTAGCTGAGACAGTGACTGTGACAGTGACAGTGTTGGAGAGATTAACAGGTTATGGAAGACACTATGACTGTGGATATAGTAACTATAATTCTCAGAGGTCAAGGCTGCTGTATGTATCCTCATGTTCTCAACTTCTAGTCGGTATGTGGCACTCAGCGATTGTTAGCCGAGCAGGATCATTAGAGCACGCTATAGAGATTTAAGTGAAATTTAAGAGACATGGCAAGCCAAACATAAGCTGTTTGCATTGTGATTAAAATAATCACCTGCAAGAAACACATTTCAGATCCTTGAGAAAATATGTGCATATGTAGTTCATGCATACCTGGTGCCCACAGAGGCCAGAAGAGGGCCTTAGATGCTCTGAACTGGAGTTGCAGATGGTTGTGAACCACCATTTGGGTGCTGGGAACTGAACCTGAGTCCTCTGTAAGAGCAACAAGTGCTCTAACCAGTGAGCAGTCTCTCCAGTCCCAAATGTCTCCCTATGTCTTTGTCTAGCATCTGTGGTGATGCCTTCATTTTCCAGTGTTCTGGGTTTGCTGTGGAACTGGTGCTGTGCCCAAAGGACTTTCCACTCACTTGCTTGTTTTAGAGCTGACCTCTATTTCCCATGGAGGGATTTAAGAGGCAGGTTATATGATTCTATTTTCACTAAAAAACAAATGAACAAAACCAATGCAAATGAAATAAAAACAACCTATCTCATGCTGGTTGATATGATTTCCTGATTTCTTCCTGTTTTGATTTGTCTCTCCTGCTACCCCAGGACTATCTTCTCATCTCTCAGCTCTGGACCAGCCACAGGATCTCAGTTTGGGCCCCTCCTTACCGTGCGCTCTGGATGAGCAGCCGTGGATTCTCTGCTGTCAGAGCCCTCAGCTGCACCATCACCTGATCACTCAGAGAGCCCTGGTCCAGCCTGAAAGCACAAGGGAAGCCATATTGTCCTGGGATACACTGAGGAACGTCTTTCACTCTGCCACAGTTGGGTTCCTTAGAATTAGGCTCTGAGATAAAGCCAGTGAGGGAGCTAATTAGGGGATGTTATTTGACCAACACCAGGACAGAGAAGGGAGGGAGTAGCAGAGGCAGATGTGGCCATGAGGTGGTGCCAGTGAGGTCTTGGCCAAATCACAGGTGTATCTGAGATGAGATGATGGCCTTTGGAACTGTCTAGAGTTAACTTTTTAAAACAAACTCCTACATGGGTCAGATGCTGGATATGAACCATCCTAGGAAGGGGACATGACAGTGGATGAAGTGGTTCTTACTGGCAGAGGGCATTCCTGCAGCCATCAGCATCACAGTGGTTGGGGGTCATGGCTTTGTCCCAGAAGGGACTCTGGACTGTTGTTAAAGAGAGTAATGAAGGTCTGTGTTCTAGGATTTTGTGAGAATTCTGCTAGAAGGAAACAATCTTGGTACCACTTCCCCTCCCCTGCCCCCCCATTTCATTGCTGGTACCACTTCCCCTCCCCCCATTTCATTGCTGGAGGTGGAAGCCGTGTTCTCACACATGAACTTGCCCTATTGAGCCCAGGTCCTGGGTTCCATCCTTACAGGTTTCAAGTCCCAGAGTTTCTGTTGGTTTAGAATTACCACTTTTTTTCCCTGGGCCTCCATGTCCATAACCAGGAACATCATCACTCCCTCTCAGCCTGCTGTGAAGCAAGGACAAGGCAGGAGAGGAAAGAATCCTATGCTGGTGAGAGGCTGGGCAGTGTCAACATTCCTGCCCTATGAGCTGTTCTCCCTGGAGAGAAGATGGAGCCCTTGAAGCTGAATCTTGTTCCTGTTTCTAGGAAGGAAGGAGGCAGCTAAGATTTGGCAAGTACCCGACATGTGTCCTGAAAGCAGACCTGTGGCAGAGGCCAGCATTGGACAAGCTCATCAGTGTGCGGGGGAGGGGGGATGAGAACGGGATGGCCTGGTTTCCACAGTCTGAGAGGTCAAAGGCAGACTCTTCATCACTATGTCCTGCTCTGACTATTCCTTTAGGTTTCAGAGTAGAAGTGACGGTCCTGGTGGGGAAAGGCACAGGACACAGGCCTCTGGGACTCTCTGCCAAATGGAAGAAACAGAGGGCTCTGGACATGGGTCTAGAGCCTTGTGTGGTTCTCTGAGCACATAACAGGAGGACTCTGGCCAGGAATCGCAGGGAGTGATCCTCTAGGCATATGCTGGGGGAAGAAGGGAGAGGAAACGGGGTGCATGGACGCAGAGAAGGACATGTAGGAGGCAGGCTTTCCTGGTTTGCATGCAAACCTAGGGCACGGAGATGACTCCGCTTCAGCCGCACAGGGTCTACTGACGCTCTTTTAAGACTCTAAGTCTGCCCAGCCCTTTGGCCCTCTTTTGTTTCAGGGTCTTTCCCTACACTGCTCATGTCAGGACTGCTGTCCTCAGAAAAGCCTCCTGGGCCCTTCAGAACCCTCCCCTCCCCCCACAGCATTACATTCTCACAACACTGTTGACTCCACAGCACTCAGCAGAACTTGTCAATACTGACTCACAGGTGACTATGTCTGTGTCTTCCCACACAGCTTCAGGAGGACAGAGCCACGTGTGTTGTGACTGCATCCCTAGGGCCTGGACCAGGGCCTGGCACACAGGGGCCTGATATGAAGGAGTGGGTGAGCAAGAGCTACCGTGCAGTGAAATGAAAGCCTTTGAACACGAAACCTCATTTTAAAACTTCCTTTTCGTTCATTCTTTGTGCCTCCCGCATCATGCATCTCGATCCCATTCCTTTCCCCGTCCTGTTGTATCCACCCTTTGCCCTTGCGACCTCCTCTCCGAAAATGAAATAAAATAAAATTTAGGAGAAAAAAGGGAGAAAATCAGTCTCGTTTTGGAAGCTGCAGTGTGGCACAGTGAGCCCCACAGTAAACCCTTTTATCCATGTGTCTTTACTTCAAGTGTTCGTTGCAAAGGGTCGTGGGTTTGGTTGGAGGCCTCTGGTTTATGCGACACTATTAATTCTGGGGCCTCACTGGGACTCCTCTAGGCTATCCTGTTGCTGCACCGTGTTGTGAAAATCCCTGCAGCTTTGGGTCTGCAGAACCGGCCCCTTCACATGTGCCAGCAGATCACAGATGGGGTGGACACTGGGGTAGGCCAACTCAGAACCCTGGTTCTGGGCCTGGGGAGTTGCAGGGTTGGTCAGGCTACCAGCTCTGCCTTGTCCTCACCACCAGGACGAGCTCTCCAGCATTGCCCTGGCTAGTTCACTCCTTGCAGCAGTGAGCAAGGGGGCGGGGCCAGTTCTCCTGCTTTCATGTCCCGGGGTCATTCTCCCACATCCACACCAGCAGGGACGACTCTACTGCATTGACCAGGTGAGGTGCAGGGGCCAGTCTCCTGAGTGCTACGGCTGATGAGGGGCAGGGACAGCTCTCCTACTCTTATGATCTCAAGGCCAGCTCTCCCCTCTGCCATAGGTGGTGAGGAGATGCCCTCTTCCCCACCTACATCACCATATGGCAGATGAGAGGTGGGCCAGATCGCCCATGGTCACATTCTTGTGGTTGGTTCACCTGCAGCCCACCTTTCTGAGTGCTGCAGCCTGGAACGGGGAGGGTCAGCTACCTTGTCTGTTGCAGGCAGTGAGGGTCAAGAGGTAAAGGGGAGCTCCTCTGTCCTGACCATGCCACCAGCATGCAGCCTCATTAATAAATATGATTCTGCAGTGCCCAGATGCCCACCTGGTATTGTATTTGTTTTTACTTATGCATGTTTTTTACGACACTGCAATGTGCAAGGTGGGTATGACATTCCCATTGAATAGATGAAGAAGCTGAGTCCGGAGAAGACAGTGACTTGACTAAGCCACAGCTACAAGCAGCACAGCTGGTCAGGAGCCAGGCTGACTATACATCACCTGTCCCCTTTCTTTTTCACATCTGATCCTCTGGCACCCCACCTACTGCCCTCCCTGGTCTCCTGATAGAAGGGACTCCCAGAGTATTACTTACAGCAGGATTCTGAGGTTGCAGGCAGGATTCCTGAGCCCCTCCCACAGCAGCCTCACACCACGATCACCCAGGTCATTCAGCTGCAGGTCTAGCTCAGTCAGGCTGGAGCTGGCCCAGAGCACTGAGGCCAGGTCCTCACAGTGTCTGGATGTGAGGCCACAGTTGACAAGCCTGCGTGGGAGATGCACTCTGTCATGTCCTGAGAGTTCACTCCATTGGATAGTGGGAATTGGGTCTCCCTTTCTGGTACCTGAAAGTCCTCATTAAGGATAACTGGGGCTTCCCTGGCTTGTGGTAAGTTTCAAGGTTTTAATTTTCCTCTTGCTCCTAAGTTGTCCCTGAGGATGCTTCACACTCCTGGTAGGATTCACAGTAACCCTCCTATCCACCACACCAACTTTATATGTACAGCTTACCTAATGTCCAATTTGTATACCCAAGTTTAACTGTTAGCCAAATAACCAGGAACAATGAATATAGGATGTCTAGGCGGTTCCAATATCAGGGCCTTTGATAGGCCAGGCCATAAACCAGTGAGCTTCTAGTATAAGAACAGAAGGTGAAAGGGGTTATGGCAGCTTTGTTTGGACCTGAGAGCCTGTCTTGGGCTCCCCAGTATATACTGGGATCTACAGTACACGTTGCTCAGGTCAGGACCATGTCTACAGGTGGCACCTGTGCTGCATCTTTGCCTTCCCATGTCTTATCAGGGTAGAAAATTCAATGTGTCCCATGCTGAGTGGCAGAACCAATGATATATAGTTAGAAATTTACTGCTCGGCTGCCGTTGGGTCAGAGAGGGCCAAGCTCTGCGAAATCCACAGCACTGCACTAGTGTGTCTCAAGAACCATGCAAAAGTAAAATATTCTATGAAGACACAGAATAGAGCATGATCTCACTTGTCATGTGACATCTTAATAAAGATGGAGTCCACAGAAACAGAGCAGTAGACTGGTTACAAGAGCAGAGGACAGGAGGAAATGGGGAGATGTCATTCCCTGGGCCTGGAGCTTTCTCCCTCCTGCTTCACTTAGCCTCTTCCTCTGTGTTCTCCAGTTCCCTTGTAGCCACTTCCTCAGGATGTCTCATGGGCCTGTTGTTATCAATAGCTAGTGGGGCTCTTTGCTCAGTCTTTCAGGACCCCAAGGTTTCCTATTTGTTTGTGTATCACAGCAAGTCTGCTATCTCTCATGGATGCGGTTAAAAGGGTTCAGTGAATGTTTGATGAAATCCAAGCCTCACCCTAGACTCAGATTTTGCCTTTGCTCTCCTGCCATTCAAGGGAAAACCCAGGCCAAACTCACCACAATGTTTTTAGGTGACATCCAGGCTGTTTCAGGGTCCTACAAAGAGTCTGTACTGCAGAGTCGCTCAGTGGGTTTCCACTTAGGTCCAGCTCCTCCAGGCTTCCTGTGAACTCAAGAGTGGAGAAGAGAGCCTGCCAGCTGGCTTTAGTGACTGGGGTCCACCTGGACCTGATCAAAAGAAAGGGAAAGGAGGGATGTATATGCATAGTCTGAACAGTGTGGACAGCCCCACGCTGTAGAGTGGGATTCTATCCTGACTCCGGGGCCTCTGTGGAGGTTTGCATACGAATGCCTCCCAAAGATTATTAGATATGAATGCTTGGTCGCCAGGGAGTAAGACTTTTCAGTGCTATTAGGAAGTGTGGCCTTGTTGGACTAGGTGTGGCTTTGCTGGAGGAAGTGTGTCACTGTGGGTAGGCATTGGGGTTTCAAATGCTCAGGTCAGGCCCAGTGTCTCTCTCTTCCTGCTGCCTTCAGATCTGGATGTAGAACTCTTAGCTACTTCCCCAGCACCAAGTCTGCCTGTGTGTACCACGCTTTCTGCTATGATGATAATGGACTAAATCTCTGAGTGTAAGCAAGCCCCAACTAAATGTACTTTCTTTTATACGAGTTATTGTGGTCATGGCATCTCTTCACAGCAGACCTGGCACAGAGGAGGACTTTAGTAGTTCAGTCTTATTTCCTTTGATATGTAATTCCTGTCTCCTTTTGGTGTGGAATTTGAGGGTCACAGTGGTCATAAAGGTAAGCTGGACTTGGGAAGTGGAGTGTTCAGGAGAGGTGGTTGAGGGAGACTCTGATAGGATTTGAGTATGGTCATAAAACACTATGACCATATTGGTTTACATGGACCCTATCCCCTTCTAAGAATAGAAGACCACAAAAAAAATTCCGTGGAGAGAACAAAGGGAATGTCATGCGAGAGAATGTCTGCAGGTTGAGCAGAAGAGAATTCTGGGAGTTCTGGAGTAGACTCTGCCCTGTGTAACTCCTGCTTAATTAATTTCTCCATTGTTACATACTCCTTTATCAAGCTTGTTAGCTGCCAGACTTCAGTTACTCAAGGGTTATCTGAAACTTCAGAGAGCTATTTCTGTTCTCTAGCTCAATACCTTGGTTAACTCTTTGACCTAGTGTGTCCCACTCACTGAGATCCATCCACCTGACTCTGCCTCCTGAGTGCTGGTATTAAAGGCCTGCACCACCTCATCCTTTATAAGTTTCTAACTAATGTATTTCACTGCCATTCTTTGGGAGTCCCAGGTATGGGCATGGCCAGTATTCATCATTGTCCTGGCCAATATTTAATAAAGATTGCTTCAAATTTATCTCACAAATTGTGGTAGTGGTCTTTTTCTCTCCTGGTGGCTTTAAGAAAGCACAGAAATGTGAGACAGTGGAGCACTGACTTGTTCCATATTACACAGAAAGTGGCAACACCCAAGGGCAGTGGAGTGTGATCTTGTAGCCGTCATTGCTAGAGCTAGCTGTGTGATGGGGTAAGAATGGGCCCTGAAGGGAAAGAGAAAGAGTGGG